GCAAAGGTCCAAAAGTCATTGTTTCTTTCAACTTCGTATTCAGCGACAGTTCTAGCAGCCAGTGAGGGTGAAGAGGGCGGTTTTCCTTACCACCTCTTCATACATATTTGGAGATAGGAATGTGGTTTTCAGCGGTGCGTGGCCCAGATCAAATTCAATCCAGATTGGCATAACTTGTGCACGCAGCGAAATCGTGACCGACCCAAATCTAACACATATGGGGACTCATCCCCTATAACGTAACGCACTCTGATTGGCTGAGATGACATGGCCTCACAAACAAACAAATACGGGCAGTGGGAATCATTCATTCCATGCAGATCACACAAAAGCTCGCTCGTCCCTGCTCGCTCGTCTGATCTGGATACTTCTTCTCAAAATTTTCATCTTCGCTCTAAATCTCGCCGCGCCACTTGGAGCCCTCTCGTCGCTAGCTGCCTTCACGAACAGCCGTTGATCTACGCCGTTGATCTACCCTCCGCCACGTACCACGTAGGACTTTTTCCCGATCGCCCCGAGGCAGACAGGACAGCTTTGGGACAGCTCCTAATGAGGGCCTGCAAGGGGGGGGGGGGTATGATTACGAATTACGCAACATTTTCGCCGCCTATTACGAAGTACGTTAAAGTCTCAGAGCTAATTACGACTTTACGATTTGTGGCTAATGTCCAATTACGAATTACGTTATTTTTGAGGAGGCTGCCTACGAATTACGAAGCTTAAAACGGCCTGATTACGCCTTACGAAAAAGGGCTGCAGGCCCTCCCTAATCTCATCGACTGGTTGAACTTATCGGGGTGAGTCCTGCATTTGTTCTTAGAACATAGGACTTTTCGCCCACTCGAATTTCATTTTAATAAGTAATACTGGTCACTCTTTTGATTCTCGTTTAGAATCTATTGTTCAAACCCGTACTACTACATGTACGGCTAGCGGAAGGGCTGTGTCTTCCGATTTTGGCTCTCAAATGTTGGTCTATCCAAGTTTCTTGGCTTACCCGGCTGTACTATCCTACGATACCGTACAAAAATACTACCAAAGCTCAGGTCCTCCTTTCCTCACATATTCTATGTCGAACTCGCACATAACGACTCGTGCAAACCGTATGCCCCCCGTATGCGAAATTTCCAGGCTCGCGTTAATTAGTTCAGTTAAACTTCGCGCCCCCCATTGATACTATTTTCACTGACCCCACTTTCACCGGTCTTGTAACTAAATACACCCGAATTTCCATCTAATCTTGCCTGCTGGCAGGGTTTTAATTGGCTGTGTATGTATGTACATGTATACGTATTCCTAAATCCTTATTTCTGTCGCATTTTTGCTCCATATTGGCCCCTTTTCTGCTCACAATCTTAGTGAGCTTTTGGTGGTTTTTAGTTCTCAGCTTGTAATGTCGCTTATGTGATTACATATTTCTCACCATCACGACCACGTATAACTGCTGTATACTGTTGACCGGATAGATAAATTCCATGGGGATTTTTTCTTACGTATGTCGTCATCACAATGTCAATTCTATTCATGTCTAATAATTTACTTTTAATTCAAGTTCAAGTTCATAGTCAAGTTTACGTTCAAGTCCAAGTTCAGTACGCAATTAAATGGTTGTGTTTCCGCCAAACATGAAATCCGTATCCGCCTTCTACCTTGTGTTTCCCCTTGACTTACTTGACTGGGACTCGCTTAGCGTAAAACTGATTTTTGTGCTGGGACAAAAATGTGGTTTTCAGCGGTGCGTGGCCCAGATCAAATTCAATCCAGATTGGCATACCTTGTGCACGCAGCGAAATCGTGACCGGCCCAAATCTAACACATATGGTTTTAATTATAAGGTAAATACTCTTTCATCACGGGCCAGCAATGGCAAAGGTCCAAAAGTCATTGTTTCTTTCAACTTCGTATTCAGCGACAGTTCTAGCAGCCAGAGGGTGAAGAGGGCGGTTTTCCTTACCACCTCTTCATACATATTTGGAGATAGGAATGTGGTTTTCAGCGGTG